AGCCTTTGCAGATGATCTTTTTGTTCTGTGTGGGGCGGATATTCAGTTATTCAGAATTATAAATGACATTTTACACCAGTTCCATTTATGGTCTAGACTTCAACCTAATCTATAGAAGAGTGCTGTCTTCTTTGCTGAATTTCTTCTGTTTTAAAAGCTGATTTACTGATTGTTCTTCCAATTCTTGAGGGTCTATTAACTGTCAAGTACTTGGGTGTGCCTCTTATTTCCACAAGATTGAGGTATGGGGATTGTCTTCAACTGAAGGACATAATACGCTCTAGGATTCAGTTTTGGGCAAATAAGCTCTTGTCATATGGGGGAAACATGCAACTTATTCAAATAGTATTGTTTAGTGTATAAATCTATTAGAGTTCCCTTTTCATTTTACCTCAAAGAACTCTAAAGGAGGTGGAAAGTTTGATTAGAGCCTTTTTATGGTCTGGTTCTGAGCTTAAGCAAAGAGGGGCCAAAGTTAAGTGGGAGAGTATTTGTGTTCCTAAACAAGGAGGAGGGTTAGGTTTTAGATCGCTGAAAATTTGGAATAAAGTCAATATGATTAAACACTTTTGGGATATAAGTATGAAGGCAGATTCACTTTGAGTTGAATGGATACATACCTATATTTTAAAGGATCAATGCTTTTGGTTTATTGATGTCCAAATAATTCCTCATGGACTATAAGGAAGATATTCAAGCTTTAGAGAGATTGGGTAGCCTCTTATTCATTACAGAATAGGCGATGGCAGTCCCACCTTCTTATGGCTTGATAACTGGCATCCCATGGGGCCTCTTTATCAATATTTTGGAAGTAGAATTGTGCAGAATATTGGTAGAGTTCTTTATGTGAATGTAAGATGCTGGCATTGGCCTAGATTAAGAAATAGAGCAATTCGGCAAGTTATTGCTTTAACACCTCATACCCTTATTCCTAATCTGCACAGATCTGATAAAGCTATTTGGTTACCTTCAAAGAGTGGTAGCTACTTCTCTAAATCTACTTGGGAAGCTTTGAGGCCATCTAGAGCAATGGTCCCATGGTGTTCTATTGTTTGGTTTAAAGGAAATGTGTCTAAATGGGCTTTTGTGCATTGGCCGATTTGTTTACAAAAATTAGCTACCAATGATGGATTATTGCATTAGGGAATGGAGGTGGATCCTGCATGTAGTTTGCGTTGATCTGTAAACGAATCTCATGAGCATTTGTTCTGCTCTTGTCCTTTTACTGAGAAATACTATGTTCAAACTTTCCTTGGCTTGCACTTTATATCATGTATGATTGGAGAGGAACAGGAGAATTTTTATTCAGTGTGTTAGTCACAAGCAAGTGATAGTGGCTAGAATAGTTAAGGAAGTTAGAGCTAGAGCTTGTTCTTTCAAGAGAGTTAAGAATTCTTTGCAAAATTGGCAAATCTGTATGGACTGGGGGCTTCCTTGTTCCATTCTACATACCTGATAAATAAATTTTCTAGCTTTTTTTTTGTTTTCTTGTTTTGTTTTGGTGTTGATCTGTGTTTTTTTGTTTCTAGTGTGCAGGGGTAGGTCCTTGTTTCTTGTTTTCTTTGTGTTTTGTATGGAATAAAATTTGAAGTCACCAAAAAAAAAAAAAAAATTACCTAACCTCTCTGATATGAAAAAACTACTAATTCTACTAACCCAATTCAATAAATATACAGCTTTCAATAATGAACAATCCAAACCCTAGGATTTGGATCCATAAAAAAATCTGAAGTTACCTGGTTTAGAAACTTAAAAAATTGTGCAGCATCCCCAAATTTCATTGTTCCTATATGTCCTAGGTTGAAAATAGGCTTTCAATCTCCAATCTTTATATTTATGATCAAAGTTTCCAATTATTCCTCGTCATTACTTTAGGATATGACGTTCTAGGTTAACTATGCTTGTGTGATGTGATTAGCTCACATATTCACCTTTCTACTTGTTGTTTATGAATTTAACCTTTATGTTAAGGTATGAAGCATCATAACCGTGATTAACCTATTGATATTGCATATACTTGAGGTAAAGATGGGCTATGTTACATGAACACTAGAAATTAAATAAGGTTCCAGCAAGAGAATTCATGATACCTAGACAGTTACTCCAAAAAAATGACTACAAAAACAAGCCTTTGGAGAATTTAGATTTTCGACATCCAGAGACCTTCATCTACATAGTTAAGATTACTCACCCTATCTATGTGACTAATATACCTATAGCCTATAGGTGTCCAAATCAAGAAGGGAAAAATATTATTGAACTAAACTGATAATAGATAAAAATGAAACCTGAAGTAATGTTCTTGAGTTACTACTTTTAAACTAGCAAACAGTAAGAACCCTATGATCAGTACCGGTGCTACTTTTAAACCATAATTCTAGCAACTAAGCCTTATGCAATTATATATAAGATATTAGTATCAACATTAGTAAATAAATAGCCAAGTAGACATATAAGCAAACTTACTATAAAAAAGAGTCCCTCCGACATTGAGTTTGTCTTATCTACTTCTTCTTCTTCTTCGTCCTCTGATATTTGAACCTGCATTGACAAGAACAAATAACATGAATAAAATACCACATTGAAAATTTCATGATTAACTATTTACTCACTTCCTCGGATGAATGATGGCAATTAAATGATGAGGTATGCATGGGATTGTTGTTGTGAATGCACATGTGTAGTAGTTGGTGCAACAGGCCCATCCATGGCCTGTTGAGACTCCAACTACTCTATTCGTCCTTGTTGATCTTGGATTGTACCTTGTATCTGACTAAACATAGCATCCATCATCTCCTTCACTTGCATCTCTATTTGTACTTTATGTTGGTTAAGTTGCTCGTGGACTTGCGTCTAGATGAGATAAGCCTACTCTTGTGATTGCCTAAATCCACCTCCAAAGACATTTGTCAGAGAAGGACCCAATCCATATGTTCGAACACGACCAGGTCGATCAAGCCCTAGAACCTGTTTGAAGATCTCCTCATTTGTAGCACTGGATTATGCTCCGAGCTCCTTCATTTGTGTCTGCAATTGTTAGTCAGTGCCACCAATAAAATTTATATTAACAAAACTAATAAGAGTATCCAGTCTATGCATCCAAGTGTGTGTCTAAGTGTCATGAAAACACAACAATCACTGCTGAAGCACCAGCAGAAAATACAGCTGCAGCACCAGCTGCAGCCACCGCTATTAAAGCCCAAGCAACTCATCCAAGGGCTGCAGCCACAGTACAAGTGTATGCCTCAATAAAAATCATCTAAACCAATGCACTAGGAAAATGAATGATCAGAAATAACACTATACCAAGAAAGACACATCAATAGGCAAATAGAGACAATCTTGGGACTCTCTCTCTCTCTCTCTGGTGGAGAAGGAGAGGTATCATCCCTCCTGTTTCGCTATTAAATTTTGTGTCAAGTTTTATCTCCACCCTACAATCAATCTTAAGCTTAGCAGTTGAATAATGCTATACAAATTATATATATATATATATATATCTAATTACTTTACAAAGACTAGTACACACTAGTTCAACCTAGCATCTTCTTTTGAGCCATTTTCAATTAAATTGCTATTGTGTCATTAACTTAGACCCCCCCAAAAATGGTGTCTTTGAACGAGCAAAAAAAGGAAAAGATGGTGTCTTTTATAGCCTTCTATCCAACTTCTCTCAACCGATAATAATAAAAAAACAGGACTTGAAGCGCGGGATGGCAGAACCCTCTCTCAACTGATAATATAAAAAAAAAAAGGACTTGACGCGCTGGATGGCAGAACCCTCAGGAAAATTTTCAATTCAGTCCCTTTATTCCCTAGCTAAATTGATTGGTGGTCAAGTGTTTCCCTCTTTAAAGTCCAATATTTTGGATGGCTAGCTTGGCTTTGAAGAGTTAATGGCTCCTAAGGATTGGTGTTTCTATAGTTTCTAATTCTGGGTTATGTCTTTTCTGTAATGATAAGCCTGAAACATCAAACCATCCCCTAATTGATTGCCATGCTGTTTGGAAAGTTTGGGCATCTATCCTAAGATGATGGGGTTTGTCATGGGTGACTCCTATCTCAATTAAGTCGCTGAGTGATTGGTGGAGAGGATGGAAAATTAAGGAAAAGGATTGTTTGCACTACAACAAAATTGAATTTTTACGGCTTGAAATGCATGCTGTAAAACTCTTTCACGGCATGCACACAAATGCTGTTATATGACATGTCGTGGAAAGTTGAGTGTCATTTACGGTATGCAAGTAAAGTTCTAAAAAGTAATAAATTAAACATTAATAACATACTTTGTATGTCGTATATAATTTTTTACAACATTTTTGTCATGCCATAAATCATCATACTTTCCATGGCATAATTTTGCATGCCATAGAAGATTAGTTTTAATATATTTATGACATACCATGTATGTCGTATATAATCTTTTACGACATTTTCTTGCATGTCATAAATCATTACACTTTTCACGGCATAATTTTGTATGTCGTAAAAGGTTATTTTTAGTATATTTCTGGCATACTTTGTATGCCATATATAATCTTTTACAACATTTTCTTTGCATGTCATAAATTATTACACTTTTCACAGCATAATTTTGTATGTCGTAAAAAGGTTATTTTTAATATATATATGTATCTGAGAGAGAGAGAGAGAGAGAGAGAGAGAAGAAGAAGAAGAAGATGAAGAAGAAGAAGAAGAAGAAGAAGAAGAAGAAGAAGAAGAAGAAGAAGAAGAAGAAGAAGAAGAAGAAAAGAAAATTCAAAGTTCATTACATGAGTAAACTGAATATCTGAACACATGATATCACTAAAATGCCCACTTTAATACTTGAAAAACAAATTACAAGATCAGATAGCAAATTATATGTATAAATGAAAGCAAAAAGATTATACACAACACAAGCCAGTCAAGTCTAATTCATTATTAGGAGCAGTAGAGAGAGCTAAAGAATCAATTAACTTGGCCAATGCAAAAAGGCCCTACCCCAATACCAATTGTAAGGATTTGAAGAGCAAATGTTGCAGCAACAGCAATAGGTGCAAGCACACATTCCAGAACAACAGAAAAGCACCCAGCTTCCTGCAAAGCCATGACAAACTCAACAACCTGCAGAAAAATAAATCCATCTTAAGAGGAAATCTCTTCTTCAAAGCTTGCAAACTTATGAATTTTGTTTGGAAAATATTTAATAGTGGTAGGGTCATAACAGTTTTATGCACTCTGCATCACTCAACAAATTCAAAATTGACAAAAGCTACCCAAAATTGGGAAAAAAATGAAGAAAGAATATAACAAGAAAAGAAAATGAAAAAAGATAGTGTATACCCAAATTGACACGGACATCATCATCCACTTTGACATAGAAATCAACATCCCATTTTGCAACAGCAGTGGAGAAGAAAATTTTGGTTTTTGCTGACAATTCATGATACCCTTCAACGTGCTCCTGTAAGACAACATGACTCATGAGCACCAAGATTGAGAAAAAAATTTGTGACTTGTCCACAATATTTTTTGTACATACAAGCTCTGTGCATCCTTACCAGCCTGAGGAAGTCCTTATGCTGAGAATCTTCTGAATCAATAGCTCGATCTAGTATGCTGTTAGATGTTGCACTGCACCAATCAAAACAATTGGCATTCAGCATAATTCAACATGACTCATGAGCACCAAGATTCAGAAAAAAATTTGTGAATTGTCCACAATATTTTTTGTACATACAAGCTCTGTGCATCCTTACCAGCCTGAGGAAGTCCTTATGCTAAGAATCTTCTGAATCAATAGCTCGATCTAGTATGCCGTTAGATGTTGCACTGCACCAATCAAAACAATTGGCATTCAGCATAATTCTCAATTATACACACAGGTGCCCTATATGATGCAAATATATTGTAGCAAGAGCAAAAGGTATGTATCTTCCATTTAGTAATATTATACTATTCGAATGGATCTGCGTTGGTTTGAGTTAGGACCTGCTTTTTCTAAACCCCAAATTAAAAAGACCTCTATTTCTCAAATGAATTAGACTATTTGAAATCTAGAAAACAAATAATTTTTGGGTATTAATGGTTAGATTGAAAATCAATACATAGGAGAAAGGGTTAAGGTTAATTTAAACTTAGTTTGGTAGGCTTTTGGGGCTAAAATGTGCAATTTGAGGGCATTATGAACAATAACCCTCAAATAGTAATTGGGGTAATTCAGACACAGGAGGAGAAGAAGGGGGGAAGAAGTGTCTCGCCCTTGTCACAACGTTTAGGAAATTCATACAACCACAACCTCAAATCCTCATAACTCAACTCTCCACTAAAAACTGAAGATTATCTGCAAATCCATAGGATGCTACATTCTCCAAATTCTACAAAAAAACAATGACTTCAAAATTTGGAAATTAAAAATTTTTAACCAACTAAAATATTTTAGAACTAATAACGACTCTATAAAAGATCTAATAACATTATTTAAAGCATGGTAGTAAGACAATAGTAGTCTATTATTCACACATTGAAGCTTTCATTGTCTAAAAAGAATATATTGGTCCCAACTGTGTCCTTTTCTCGTAGCAGTTACTTAGAAAGTCACATGATCAATCATGTTCAATAATCAAAGTTTCTATAGGGCATGATCATGCATGAATTATTTCAATCAATGTATCACCCATTAAGCTACTCCAATATTTTTATAGAAGTACCCATGTTGATTCTAGTCTTTCCAAATTTTTATGCTCATTCAACCAAATATCCTCATAAATCCCTTTCACTCTTTTCCATTTTTTATTCTCTTTCGGCTACAACTCATTTCATTATATCTCATCTAACACCAATGTTTCTTGGCTTTCCAACATTTGCTCTATGGCATTTAGGTCATTCTGTCACTATTCAACATAAATTTTCTTGTTTTCTGGCAAGTATAAATTCTCTTTAAATTTGCTGCTTTTATCATTATTTAAAGCACTTAAGGTGAAAATCAAACTTTAACTATCCACCTAAAATCCAAGGGAATATCCTCCCTTAAGATGCAAAATCAAACTTTAGCTGTCCACCTCATACCCTTGAGAAAATCCTCTTCAACTACTGTCTTCTTTCACATGATTATGCTAAGGCTCCTAAGACAATAATTTATAGCATCTACATACCAGTTAAGAAACAGATGCGGAACACAATCAAAAGAGAGGAGACAACTTTAGAATTTTAAACGAAGCAACCCTTGGAACCTTGTTTGGTCAAGTATGTTTTAATTAATTTTCATGGACTATAATTTACAGCATCTACATATGACAAAATGATTGCTGCCTATAAATTTTATTACATTTTTAAATTTCTACAACTTATAAATCTAAAAATCAAGTTAATTCCAACTCGTTTCTGTGTGCAAAAACCTCCAAACTTTCCCTAACCTTCTTAAATCCTAGAACTACAAGTTCACCTTATTCAAAGCAACCGTGATTTCAACCATATGGAACAGTGATCAAAGTTTCCTTCCAAGTGCAGCTTTACATAAATTTGACATCAAAGTCCACGGGAGAGTGCTTCTTGTACTTGTCCACCAACACCAACGTGGACTGCAGATCAATTAAGATTTAGTTCACCTGACCAATTGATTCATTGGCCAAATAGTTCTGCAGTTCTTAGATATACAAACAAACATCTTCATGGTAATTTAGTTTGTCTTTTTCTAGTCTCATCAAAGAACATCACAGCACATAAAAGTAAATTACCTTGCAGCATGTGGTAAAGATTATTTGTGCTTGTGCTATGACTATGGTTGTTGACCACCAATGGAATGGAAATACAGTAAGCAAAGAATAATCTAAAACTTGTTCATTCTCATAACAAGTGAACATCACAAAACTTCCTGGATATTCTATTTTAATTTTTAAAGGCAATTAATGTGATAATGATACATTTATTTGTTTAACAATGTCAATTGTTACACAAGTAGGAGTTGACTTTTGACAAATCTATATCAAGGAAAAGCAATGGATCCAACTTCAAAAAATTAATAATGAGATCACATTGCCCGAAGAATTCCTATAGCGATCCCGGGTTTACCCTTGTTGTACAGTGATCCGGACATGTGTCCGTGGAGGTTGGTAGTTGATTATTATCTTGTTTACATCCTTTTCACTTTGTAGTTGAGTTATGGGATGTGTTGGGCAGGTTTGTTACAGGTTGGTTGAGTTTAGAAACCAAAACTAGTTGCCCAGATTTTGACCTGTCCGCTCGAGCGGGGGTTTTGGCGCTCGAGCGGGAATTGCACCCATCCAGTATTTCCTGTGCAGTGTTGGATGCTCGAGCGTGGGATTGGCCGCTCGAGCGGGGTTGTGTGAGTGCCGCTCGAGCGGGGAGTTGGAAGCTCGAGCGGAGACCTGGTTCTGTAAAAGTTCTGGGAGTGTGCATCCGCCGCTCGAGCAAGATGGTAGACGCTCGAGCGGGAGTCTGTGAGTGACGCTCGAGCGGGGTGTTTGACGCTCGAGTGGGGCGACTGGGTTTAAGTTCCGAGTTTTGACTTTTCAAATCATTTTTTCACTTTCTCTTCTCTCTCATACTTTTCCAAAAACACCATTGTTGAGCCTCTCACTCTAGAACTCTACCTTCTCTCTAGGTTTTGATCTAGTAGGAGTGATTTGCTCACCTTTGGCCTTTACAAAAAAGTTGTTGATCGTCGAGGGCTACATTTTAATCTGAAAATTTTGGTTTTTGGAGCACGTTGGGTTTTGTCATCTTCTCTCTTGGGACTCCGGATTTGAGGTAGGGATATCCTACTCCTCTCTATGGATTTTGTCTTTAAATTTTGGCATTTTGAGATGTTGGTGTTGGTTTGGTAATTTTGTGAAAATTTGGGGCTTTTGTGTTATTCTACAAAAGTTGAGGTTTTATTTATAATAAACCTAGATGCATGTTTGGCATAGAAAAATGGAGTAAATGTTGAATCATTGATGAAAATGGGACCTTAAGGGTTGTAATGTTAATTACGGAAAATGCCCTAATTACATTGTGTGATTAATTGGGTTAATTAATCGTGAGAAATGAGGTTATGAAATGAAGTTGTTGAGATTGGGAATGTATGGGGTTAAAGGGTGTAGTTGAATTAATTATCACCCACCGAAATGAAATGTTGATTGAATATCCATTGTGCATTTATTTTCTGTTTAGAGATAACTGCTTTGGGCTATCGGTGGAGGATAGTCGTGATTGTCGTAGACAATGCATGACAATTAGGCAAACGGAAACTAATCAATAGAATGTGTCATGGAATTTGACGATTGATAGAATACATTATAGGCCACTATTTTGGCATGTTTAACCTCTTTCCGGGGTTGGTTTGGTCATTTAGGCTTAGTATTGTATGCCTATAGTGTTATGCTCTTTGTTAGTTTCGATGCCTTCGACTCCAAGCATATCTTGCATGTATTGTTTTCATGTTTCGATGTTATTTAACATACTATTCTCATATGCTTGTCTAGAGAAGTGAAGATAGAGCTCATATGCTTATCTTTGTGAAGTGTAGATACAACTTATATGCTTATCTGTGAATGTGGGATATAGTGGTTATACAAATCTGTTGAGAATGTGGATATAGCTTATATGCTTATCTGTGAATGTGGGATATAGTTTTTATACATATCTGTTGAGATGAGGATAGAGCTAATATGCTTATCTGTTGAAAAAGGGAAAATGAAAAGTAACTTGGACTCATAAGTCGTAAGACATAAAATGTGATTTATGTGGATGAATCAGTGTTGACCATCTATCAATTGCTAATCTTTTAGTCATTGTTCATGGTTGGTTTAGTGTATTTCTACTGGGCTGTGGCTCACCCTATATGGGAATATCATTTTCAGGTACAGGTAAAATATAAATATGAAGGACATAGCGGTTTTGGAAGGCCTAGATACGAGCTGATTTTTGCTGTTTAGTTCTTTTGGATGGTATTAACATGTATATATCAAGCCACAGGCTTCATGTGTGAGCGAAGTTAGCAATCTTTTGTTGTAACCAAGTGTTAACTTGGAAGACTGTAAGCCCGTAAGGATGTTTTGAGTTACATGTTAATCAACTATGTATGAAAACTCTGATTAATAGAGAATGTGGATATTTGGCATGTCAAGGAATGTCTCAATTGAGGGTTTAATGTTATTATTTTGATGGAGCTTACAAACTTGGTATCAAAGCGTACCGGTTCGAAACCTTTGGGTACGTGGAAGTGATTAGTATCACAATGGGTTTGTCTCGCTTGATAGAGACTTAGATGTAGTGTCATATGCTATGTGTTTAATTGATAACATGCTTATGTGTTTATTTGGGTATGGGATTTGATTTCTAGGATGTTGATTGGATGCTTGGGTTTCTGGGAGTCTTGTTGGAAAAGCACTTGATCAATACTGTTTCTATCCGGAACTCTAGTAACGCCTCGGGACTATCATTATCTGGAAATGAAATTCGTAAGTGCTTATGTGTTTATGTGCTTATGTGGAGTGAATTACAGTTGTCCATGCATTAGGACGTGAGTGTTTAGTTTCGGCACATTTGTGAATGTGCTAACGTTTTGTATTACCTTTATTAGGATGTCAGGACGAGGAAGAGGTGCTAGGTGTGGTAGGCCTGTGAGGCAGGAAGTACCATTACCGGAGGAGGTTCCGGCAGTGCAGGAGGGAGTTGGCCAGGCCAATGTGGCCGAGCCAGCGGGTCAACAGGCTATAGGTGCCTTGGCCAGAGAGATAGCAGGAGCTTTGGGTATTCTTAGAGCTGGGAATCAGGCAACTGAGGCAGGGCCTTCTTTCTTGAAGAGGGAGTTTTTCCGGTCTAATCCGGATGAGTTTATCGGGGATCCGAAGGAGCCACTGAAGGCAGATGAGTGGCTAGAGCAAATGAGTAAGACGTTCGAGATGCTTGGCATCGAGGACGGAGCACTGAAAGTGACCTTGGCATCCTTCCAACTGAAGGGAGATGCGGGTCAATGGTGGAAGTACGAGAAGGCTCGTGTTGGTGGTACATGGGAAGCGTTTGTGAATGCTTTTCAGGAGAGGTTTTTGTCTGCAGCAGCTAGGGAGAAGCTGAGGGATCAGATTAGCCGGCTTAAACAGCAGGGCTTGTCAGTGGCCGAGTTTGAGGCTACTTTTACCAGTCTGTCCAGGTTTGCACCTGAACTGGTGGCGTCTGAGGAACGCCGTTGCTATGAGTTTGAGAGGAAGTTGAGTCGGGGCCTCAAGTTGAGAGTTGGCGGGTCTTACATCCGAGAGTATAGACACCTGGTAGATGCTGCTGCTCATATGGAGATTATGATGCAGGAAGAGGAGGAAGAGCACAAGGGCTCCAAGAGGAGCCAGGATGGTCAGGGTGATGGCAGGAGGCAGAGGGGTTATAACCCTCAGCAGCCTCAAGGTGCAGTTTCTAGATCGACCTTTCCAGTGCCGAGTGCAGGCTCGGGGAGAGGCAATCAGGGGGAGTTTGCCTGTTACAAGTGTGGCCAGCTGGGTCACAAGGTTTCAGTTTGCCCGCAGAAGGGTGGGGGTCAGAAAGCTGCTTCTTCTTCAGCTAGACCCCAGAGTCAGAGTTTGGGCAGGGGACAGCCC